GAAGCATATCTGTAATTTATAGTATATGTTCGAATAGAAGGATTGATAAAGTTTCGATAGCATGCGTAACATTTCTGTCGATCGAATTGAATCCGCTTCCGCTTGTATCCTCACATGTACATTATATCCGCACGTGTATAGGCATATTCGGTCGCATCGAACAAGTGTTGCAACTTAGCTCATGATGTAAACTGTCGATCGCGCACACAAAAAGAGCGACTGTTGTGTAAACTGCCCGATAGGCGGATAACGTAGATTAGACGTATGTACGGTTCGAAATCCTGTGAACACTCCGCCGAGCTCGATGGCGGTTCTGTCGTACTGTTGTGCGACGTGATGATGAGGGAAGGAGGACAAGACTCGAAAGAACGTCCGTTACGGCTGGACACCGACGATCATCGCCAACTGCCCGTAGGCGTTTTCGTTCTTCGCACATCTTCTTGCAGGTGCCGTAAAAGTCGTGCACTTCCGGAGGACTTTCCGGAACAACAACCGTAATTGTTGGCGTTGCCGTTGACGATCTTCGTCCCTCGATCGGTCCATCCCATCTGTTCATTGGCATGAATGGCTCGTTGCTCCTTTCCCATGCATTTTCTGACCTATCTCTCAGGTACCGTTCCACGACTACAGTCTTGTTCAACGTACTTGGCCCTCGTTTTTAAGAAATTGCCACAGCTGTTGTCTCGTCTAATGCCCTGAAAAGCGATTGCGCGGGTTCTGGATGGGTGGAGTCTAATGACCTGATGCCCAATGTTTCATTTTTTTACCGTTCATGTGACTTAAATGATTTTCATGTACTTATTTTTCGAGATGTCATATTTCGTACACCTTCTGGCGATTCTTCCCTACGGCGAGGTACGATGCATCGTCGTCTTCTGTCAGAAGATGAAAGGATTTCACGGCGCCTTCTTATTACTATCATTGCAGCCATGCATCCAAATCCTTGCATCTAAATGTTTAGTTAGTGTCTGTTTTCACGACAGATTCGCCTCGGATCAACAAGCTATCCGATTGCCCCCGTTTATTCTGAGGTTCATTGCGGCAATACTTCACAGCCACGCGAGGAGCAGAGGAGCATACCACGTCAGATTTCGCCTTAACGTGTGTAATTAACTTTGTAAATGAAAGGAAAACCATTAGACCCTGTTTCTTTCCAATCGCCAATTAAAGCCCGTCATGCAAACGGGACAATTGTACCAAATCTGACCTACCCCACATGTGACACGTCACGTTGACGTTCAGGGTCGTTGCGCAGCTCGCTTGCGTGGAATTCGACAGCAGTGGCGCACTCTCTGATTTCTATTAATTTATTGCATTTATAATCTGGAGATATAAACTTTAATTTAAGGCCGATGCCTAGATCCTGTGGAAACGTCCTCAATTCCCTTCAGTGTGTTTAACAACTTTAATCCCTGCCCGCTTTGCAGGCCTTCTTTTCATCCGTGCAAAACATTGACGGATATCAGTGCTAGAGAATCTTAGTTCTTCATGGAGCAGAAGTCCATGATTAGCAGCAACGTTTATGGACGGTCATCCTATTACATATTTATTGAT